TCATTGTGTTTTGCAAGTATCCCAAAATGAATACTGTCAGTGTGTACAGTAGCTACTTAGATACAATGCGAGAAATAAAATTCCAATGTGTGGGGGCTGAAGTGGATAATCGATCAACCAACACAGTTAGGATATAATTATGTAGATTACTGTAATAGTTCATTCTGTATAGTTTTTGAAGTTCCTTTAAAAACATGGGCATCACTAAGATGTTTATCTAAAACGGGATCAATTTTTGCACTATAGTCTATCAGTTCTAAAAATACCCCTTTGTTTACCGAGTCACTTTTTTTATTATGTCCACGAAGAGAAAGGTTACATGTACCACATAGTTTTAAGATATTTAAAATTTTTGAAAGAAGCAATCGATTTTTCTTAACTGTTTCGTTATGACTATTTACTATTTATTTGTTCTGCATAAGCACTATTTAAACAAGAAGCAATATTTACTCTTCCTAAAAGTAAAAAACTCACCAACTTATTTTTGTGTTTAGGAGAATTTTCATGTTTCTTAATTTTAATTTCTAAATGTTTCAAGTCAGAAACTCCAGTTTTCGTCCAGTTTTCTTCGCCTCCTCCAAACAATAAACATACAAAACAAAAAAATCTATTTGTTTGGTCACAACCACACAACCACAGGGTCTTATCATAAATGTTTTTATCAAATTTGCGAAAGCCGGCCCACTTTTTGCACTCTTTCTGCACCTCAACTAAATTCAACACTGGCGTTGGACGTCCGTTATTTTTCAATTCGACTTTTTCCTCTAAACTTAAATTACTAATAACAAGTTTTTTTATTTCACAAACCCTCATTTTAAACTTAAACTTATAAAATATAATGTCTTAAAAAGCGCCAAAGCAAAAACAAAACACATATAACCACACTTCAGTGATACGGGTTACTGCCTCATGGAGTCCCAAAACAAAGCGCGCGAGCCTATCGTCGCCTATCCCCTCCACGTGCCAATTTGTCCAATCATATGTAAAAATATGCTTGCACGATGGACTCAGATTTCACGGTCCGCGATGGAGTGGGGATTGCGCGCGCGGTTAAACATAACTCTTTGGTACGATCATAGATGGCAGATGGCATTAATCTGAGCTACGTTCACGGAGTACATGCACTTTATGCAACCAACCTAACATCCAAGAGATATTGAATGCATGCTATTTAGATTTCTTATTGATTTAAATAAATACATTATTTTAAGTTTATAGTTTGAAAATATCTGGGGGGGGGGGGGGCGGAGTCCCAGAGTCCTCCTTCACGAGCCGCCACTGATTGCCATGCAATGGTCCACACTTTGACATCATATGCTATTGTCCTTTGGGAAAATTCATCTAAATCGTACAAAGTTTTTCACTTGCAAAAAACTACTATTAGGATCATAGACTCAGAACCATTTGATACTCATTGTAAATCTTTGTTTAAAAGTATGGGATCCTACCTTTGCCATGTTTGTATTTTTTTGAAAATTTGTTATTAATACACAAAAATCTACATAATTTAACTGTACATTCAGATATAGACGTATGTACTCGACTCCGAGAAGATCTCATACCATCATTTTCAAGACTGAGAATGGCTCAGACTAACAAAATTGACGTTAGTTTTGTATAACAAATTCATTTTTATAAATTAGCAAATTTTTTTTTAATAGAAAAGGCTTTTTATAGTGTAAATGAATATCTTGAGGATAAACCGTCTATATAGATGTTTATGAAGACAATAATGAGAAATATTTGTGTTTTTAATACTTTGTTATTAATTTTTTATTCGACAATTTTTAATTCTGTTGTATTTTAAACCAAATTTGTATTTTACAGTGCTGTGTATTTTAAATTTTCCTTATGATAAAAATATATTCTGTATTTTTAACCTATTTACCTTTATCATCTCTTGTAAATTATGGCATAAATGTGCTGTAAGTATATAGGGAGCCCCATAAGCACATGATCAAAAAAGTACCTACTGTGATATTCTTTGGCTCAAAAGAAGACGATCTGACCTAACATTCATTAAGAAAAAATGTCTGGCTCTTCTGCTATTGCTCCTCTGCTCTTGAAAAAAAAATGTTTTTTCTAATATCTGTAGAATGTTACTATAGATTTTAATGAAACTTACTGTGGACATGTTCCTAAGTAAGACTCATATTTTGATGAAGCAACCGCGTCCATCTACCTTGCGCTAGTGGTAAATTCTTGAGTGTCTTGGTACAAGATTTACCAGAACTTTTTATTTGGTAGCTGGAATCAATTCATTTCTATTTTATTGATGCATCAGTCCTCCTTCGAGATTTTCATGCTCTTAGTAGAATCTTGTAGCATTCATAGTTTTTACGCACAAAAATCTTTTCAATTTTAGACAATTATTATCACTACTACTCAAGTACAACTACTCACTACAATCACTACTATCGTAGTAAGCGACGATATCAGTTTATAATAAATGAATTCTCAAACTTTTGACTAGGCGGACGTAATAGGGAATGATCCAGAAATGTTGAGAAATGCTCAATTCAATTTCAATCGAAGGATCCAGCTATGCATCCAGGAAAATGGCGGGTATATCGAACATTTCTTGTAATTCCATCGTCATCGTAATTGTGACCATTTTATTTTCAATATTGATATCCTAGGTAAAAAAATTGGCATAATTATTATTAGAGAAAGCCGCTTCTTGTGAAAGGGCAGATTTACTGCGATACGTCTAAAATTGTCGCAACGAAACAGAAAACATTTTTTTGCGTAAAACTATGAATTGTACAAAATTTTACCAAGAGCACGAAAATCTCGAAAAAGGGCTGATGCATCAATAAAAAAATTCTGGTGATTCTTGTACCAAGACACTTAGGAATTTAACTTGCCCAAGGCAAATGGACGCGGTTGCTTCACCAAAACATGAGTCTTACTTAGGAACAAGTCCACAGCAAGTTTCATTAAAATCCATAGCAACATTCTCCAGATATTACAAAAAACATAATGTTTTTCAAGAACTTTGACAGTCAGTAGCAGAGGGGCCAGACATTTTTTTTAAATGGTTAAGTCAGATCGTCTTCTTTTGAGCCAAAGAATATCGCAGTACCTTTTAGATCATGTGCTTATGGGACACCCTGTATATTGCCAATAAAGGTCTATCTATCTAATAATATCCTCTCACTAAATAAATTCCCATTTGTCGTTGTGTTTTTGCGAAAATTTTGTCACTTCTCCAATCCTTCATTTTTGTTACACAGTGTTATCTGGAATAAATTTATAATCTACACTTAAATCAACATGTAGAATTCTTTTAAATAAATTCCTTCCTGTTTGAAAATCCGAGAATAGAAGTGATATAATTGTAAATTAAAAGAGGGTGGATTGGAACCCTGCCAGATAGTTTAAAGCAGAACATTATTTTTTATGGAGGGTATTCCGGAAGATTTACATCTGCATTATCATTTAGATTATAATACCGACATAAAAACTGGGAGCAATGAAAAACAACACTTTTAAGCAGAAATTAAGTAGGTGGAACCAATTGCAATTGGATTGCAATCTAAATCTTTGTTCAATTAATGGGAAGGGAATATTCACGGACATTAATTTGGTCATATGTGGCATGTTGTTTAAATTTAAAAATATGAATCATGTATATATTATTTTTTAAATTATATAGATGTTATTATTAATAATAAAAATCTGTGTTAAAAAAAATAAAAAAAAATTGAAAGACACCTAATATTCATTTTCTTTTCTAATAATTATGCGACAAAAATTTATAAATTGGTGAAAATAAGAAAATGGTGGATAGTCGTCCTAAAACTATCTTACTGTTGCTGTGAGTTCAATAATATCGTAAGTAATATCCAAATCCCTAGGTTTAAAGTATGAAAATTTTTGACAATATCACCAAAAATATTATTTTTATATACTGTTGTCTTTTAAAGGAATAAATCTCCCTTAGTAACCGTTTTTGGAGAAAGTTGATATGAAAAAGTATCCTTATTTCCTGGAAAAAACATTGGGAGACAATTCAGAGCCACCCAGTAGATTCAAAGTATGAACAGTTAGTGATAACTTCGCCTAATTTACAAGCTTTACCAATATCTTGGAATCAAAATAAAATATTTTAACAAAATTTATATCCAAAGTTGCATCGTTTAGTGGCTAGAGGACATTAAGGTTAACAAAAAAATATTTTTTTTACAAATACTTTAAAACACTTTGTCTGATTTAAATGAATATTAGTATACTACATAGTACTAACTTCTGTCACTTTTTGACACAGTAACAGGCCCAAGTTTTATATAAGTTTTTCCTCTCTTTTCAATTTTTCATATTTTTAATCATTTTGCATAATTAATTATTGTATTGGTCTCACTACTGCATTTTCGATAAAATTTCGAGTTAATTGCAAGAAAAATTGATTTATTTCAACTGTTTCTTCGAAATGAATTTTTGAAGCTTTTAAGGAAACATACAACTTTTATAGGAAGCTTTTCCTAAAGTTAAAAATAAAAATGAATCATTTTCGGTGGGAAATTCTGTACACTCTTTCTTGCAAAATTAATTCTCAATAATGAAAAAGAAATTACAATAGGTCAAGCCAATAATGTGTTAATAGATTTCGAACAAAAACATTGACAGTACAATTTTTCAAAAACGCACCTAAAATATTATAAGAACCTTAGAACTTCCAATTTTGAAGAAGTTATAGCGTTCAAATACGAATAGATTAATAAATAAAACTATTTGCGCTTAATTCAATTAATTTCTTGTTATGATAATGGTCTGCGCTACTATACATCAGGAAATTCTGTATGCATTTGTACAGGACGTTCCTTTAGAAAAATATCATCTTGATGAACTAGTAAAAGGAACCATGGGTCGTTTTTTTGTTCAGCATATTAATCAGTAAAAAAATTACTATTTCGATAGTGATTTCTAATGATGAAGTTGACAGTAGTGTCGATGATACCTAAGACGTTGGATATACCACAACTTAAATTGATACTCACCTTTCTTTTCGAGCGTATCGCGTCTAACTGTCTTTGTGTCATTTCTCCTATTGAACTAGATCCCCAAAGAACTCTTCCCATTGTGGTATAACATACTGACATTAGAATCATCGGAACAATATATGTTATAAAGAGAAACAACGTCTGATACCTGAAAAAAGAAATTCATGTTATATTTACTTCATCATATTTATAATTCATATTTATTTGCACAAATTAAATTAGTCTAAAAACTACTGTATTTTTCCTATGTACCTACATAGTTACTTGTAGTTCTTAAGATTATTTGGAAATTAAGTTAATTTGCTAAAGTGTCATTATCATTTTTTATTTGATAAAAAACAAAGGAAGGTAGAATGTTGTGTACATAATCCTGCATATACGAAGTCTGTTCAGAAAATAACCGAACTTTATTTTTTTTAAGCTTTGTTATTAATTTTATACATTTTATGTTTGTTTCCTTCAAAGTTATTCACACACTTTTCGCAGCGGTGTTTCCATTGCGCGAAACAGTCTTGGATACCTAACTTAATTTGAAATATCCTTTAGTGACGATTTGCTTTGAGACGTCAAATGATTCAAATATTAATGACGATTAATAATCTGAAAACGGCGACCTTTCAACACTGGTTTTAATTTCGGAAATAAGAAAAAATCGCAAAAAGCCAGGTCTGGCTAGTAAGGGGGGTGATGGAGGACAGTAATCTGATTTTTGGTACATAACTTACAAATTGTCAAAGTCGAGTGTTGGGGTGCATTGTCATGGTGCAAGAACCATGAGCTGTCTCACCACAACTTTAGTCTATTTTTGCGGATTTTTTCACGTAACCCTTGTAAAACGGCTTCATGGTACACATGGTTCACTGTTTCACATTGAGGAAATAATTCAAAATGCACAATTCCATTAAAGTCGAAAAAACAGTGAGCATCACTTTGACATTGCACCGAGACTAACATACTTTCTTGGGGCTTGGAGATTCTTTGCCAATCCATTGCTTTCGTCTCGTGTTATGTGATCTTTGAATAAATGTTTAATTTTCTTTCTGTGGTTCGGTCATCAAACGAAAAAACAAATTTCATGACCGCAATTTCTCTGACAGTAAATCGACGATTTGCACGCAGTAGATTTTTGACTTACTAAACGTGGTCGAGGATTATCTTCAATTGACTGCCGACCACTGTTAAATCGTGAAAACTATTCGTAACATTGCGTACGTCTCAGAGCCTTCCCTCCGTAGGCTTCTTTCAAAAGTTGAAATGTTTCCGTGAGAGTTTTCCCCAGTTTCACTCAAAATTTTATGTTGCGTCGTTGTTCCCGTAAATTGCACATTTCAAAAATCGTTCCTAATACTTAAACACGTCCAAGAAAACTTTAGAGGAGGTTATGCGCAACGCAATGCTGCCATCTGCATATCACTAAGAGCGTAATTAAAAAAGTTCGGTTATTTTCTGAACAGACCTCGTACAGTTCAGCCCTGGCATTTTATAAATTTTATCTTTTCCTCTAGATTGTTCGCTGGCGCGGCGCGTAATTTGCCTTTTCCAATTTTGTAGACAAATTTATGTTTTCAGCGTTTTAGAATTTCACATGGATCAGTGAATGACATGATTTATGGCGATTGTCCACTAAATTGGCGTAGGTAGATTAAAATAGCACATATTTTAAATTTAAAATGACAAAGATAATATTTGTTTGCAGTGCACAGTGGCATATACAGAATTTTGATAGAGGGTTTAAGAATCGTTTATTAATAAGCTATTGGCATTATTACAAAGAAAATAGTAAATATTGTATGAAAATTAAGAGTAATTTCGAGAGCAGGTAATTTATTGAAAGAAGTCTATTTTTAAATGAAAATTAATGACGTTATATGATATTGTCATCATGAGTTAATAATTATTTTACATAGGAATATAGACGATGTATTCTTATTACTGCCAATAATGTACCCAGGAAAATTTTTATACATAATTTCTTATTATTTTTGTAAGTACTTTAAATAAAAATGAATGCTTGACATTTGGCTTTAGCCTGGGATCGGCTTGCCGTACTTATCCCCACTTCCATTCGTTCTTCTCAATCTCCATTCCAATAGCACAATTGTAGTGTTGGTCACATACTAATTTAATTTTGAGATAAATTTAAAATAAAAGAAAAGATAAATTGAGAAATTTATCATATAATTTCTTAGATAAATCTACTACAATTTATTATGACAATTTCAAGGCCGTTAGCTCAAAATATGAAAATGTGCCTTAAAACTAAAATTGCTATGTAGTATTAATTTAGTATATTTTCATAATTATTAAAAAGTGATAATTAGAAGCAGAGGACAGTAAAATATAAATATACAGGGTGTCTCATAATTAGCTGCCAATCCTGAACAAGCCGATTCTATGATCAAAACTAAGTAAAAAAGTTCATATGAACATGGGTCCGGAAATGCTTCCTAAGGGCACAGGGACCCATTGAAGAGGGAGGAATGGAAATCATTTTTTT